GGGGGGGGGGGGGGGGGGGGGGGGGGGGTAGGCATCAGTTCTTTCTGGACTAATCCTCCCTGCCTTGTGGGGATGCTGGCGGTTATCAGTGAGATCATGCCTGTGAACACTCTCTACCATGAGAGCCAGGCTCAGCATTAATTATGAGGAAAACCCAAGTCTCCTGATTCCCAGGCCTGGGGCTAGCCTACCTCCCACCCAAGGTTCCAGCCAGACCAGAGGCTAGCCGCTGAGGCAGAAAAGAAACTGGAAACGTGAATGTCATAGGACGTGTCACGTCAAAGCTGTTTTTCCAGACAGAGTAAGAGAACTGGGGTACCGGGAACTGCTGGGGGGCTAAAACGCCTCCAAGTGGCCAATGTTCCCAACCCCCCAACAGGCAATTAGGCCTCAGCCTGTCCTCCCCTCTCACCGGACTTCCTTCTGGCTGCCATGTTTGATGATCATGTCGATGTAGACCGACCAGACATCTGTGCGCTTTGGGTAGGTGCTCAGCGTGTTCTCGAAAATGGCTTTGGCGCGCTCCGCATCCCCCAGCTGGAACTCAAGCTGCGCAAACTTGGCAATCACATCCACGTCTGCAGGGAGAGGACAACTCAGACACAGAAAGCAGACAGATGCCCTCATCAAAACACACTACCCTACAGGGACAGAGTCTGATGCCCGATTCCCTGCTCTTGGGTCCTAAGACCTAGGTGACGACAAGAGGGACAGTGGGGCGGGTTTAGGGCCAAATACACAGATGGGCACTGATCTGTGACTCCCAACAGCAGACATCCTACTCTCCGGACCGAGAAGGGGGAATCAGGGGATGAGAGGTGGGCTGTGGGGCAGGCAGAGGCAAAAGAATGAGTGCTAACTCCTTTCTGTTCCTCTCTCTTCGGAGTTTAGAATTTAAAATGCAACACGAGCTATGTTCATGAGCATACGATCAAGAGAGAGCGAGCAACGTACGCTCCACAAGGCTTTCCTAACACCAGCCTCGGATGAGGAGACCCCCAGCCCTCTGCCCAGATGGGAGACAGGCTACTGCGCCCTGGAATTGGACCAGTGGGCGGGAACAAGCACTCACGCTCTTTCTTAGGCAGGCACTCGAGGGCTCGCTGCATCACGCGGTGACTGGCCCCAGCCTGGCCCCTCCGCAGAAGAAAGGCGCCGTATTTGATCCAGACAGCTTTCTCCTGCCTGAAACGTTTCAGCATCCGGTTGTAAAGTTCACCAGCTTCCTGTGGGAAAGACGACATAAGCTGAGGAGAGTGATTAAGACAGAGGGGGCAATGGCAGAGACAGGCACCTGCACTTGTGGGAAGCTAGACCTGGGCTCAGACTCCATCAGTATCCAGGCCCAATGTCAGGTATGCGGGGGGAGAGGACAGGCGTACAGGATGAGGGGAGCGCATGATGGGGAGTCTCCCTCCTAAGCCTGTGCCGTGAGGAGGTCCTAAGTCTAGAAGAGAGAATGTGAGCATGACGAAGGGGAGGAGGAGAGACGAAAAAGGGCTACTGGGGTATGTCGCCTCCTGTCGGTGACACCCGTCGGCAACCCAAGGGATAGACCCCCGGCTCTGCTGTCCCTTCCCTTCCCTCATCCCGGCCCCACATTCCCAAAGAGGAGGCAGGGGAAACGACTTCTCCCACCTGGAAGGTGAGCAAGCCTGGGGCAGGACTGGGTCCAGATGCGGCTGTTCTCCCCCGAGACTTCCCTGCTGCCTCTGGGACTCCCAGGACCTCATTTCTAAGTGGCTGAGGTCCCCCTGGCAGCCGGCCACCTGGCCCAGACTCCTACCTGGAATTTCTCTGACTTGGTGTAGATGTCAGCCAGATGGAGAAAGACCTTGAGAGGCTCGTTGTACTGCACGGCCCGCTCGAAGACCTTGGTCAGTGACCCCTGGGAGCCGTACATGTTTTCTAGGTTCAGCTGGGCCACCCACACGTTCAGCTTCTCCTGCTCCTCTCTAGAGGGAGGGCAGTCAGCACGTGAGCTCCATCATCTTGGCCCAACGAGCCCCCCACTGCCATCGGGGGACTGGAACTACATCCTCCTCCCCAGGCTGCACCCACGTCCTCAGTTCCCACCCCCAAGTGCAGGCCCCGAGAGGCCCTGTCCCCACTGCAGCTCACACAGAAGCAGGAACCCCGACCCCATGGCTGTGGGGTCTGGGGCTCCCCTGGTTTCTGCCTCCACTCCTGGGAAGGAAACCTACCAGATCTCAAACCGGCCTGAGGTCTGGACTGGAAGGAATCTGTGGTCTGAATCTCCCCCCACACTAAGAGCATATGATGCAGAGGAGCGCCACCCCT